AAAATAATCCGAATTCTTATTACTAGTAATTTGTCTATTTATTTACGAGATTATCCCCAGAATACTCGCTATAATTTGTGACGTATTGTGCGCGCTAGAATTGAGTCGGTGGATGATTACAGTAAAACATTTTTCACATTTGTTTCAAGAGAATAGAATGATTTACTAAAAAACACTTCAGACTATCGTAATGTTAAAATATCACAAATGAGATTGAAAATGAATGAGTAAGTTCCGGGTAATCAAAGTAAACTAACATTTTCATATAGGAAATTCTTGATTCTATTTATGCGTTTAAAAGCAAATCTTCCACCGCTTAATTACTACCTTTAAAAGGGCCAATGTGTTCCTCACTGTGCGCATATGACGGTGAAGCTGTGATGATTGATCATTATTTTTTTCGCTGTTTATTACACGTTCAACAACGCAAAAAACCTTTTCGTATCTTCAATTTTGTTAAAAACTGACAACGCATATTTTAGTACTGAATGAATCGGCTATTGATATAAATACACGCACACTGATACTTGAAGCTGCGGTAAACTTTATTGAAAAAACTAAACGTTTCCAGTAAGCCAGATAATCATTCATATAACGTCTTAACACCGAATCCCTTTCTGATAGGTACAGTAGTTAACAAATCAAAATAAAGAAGATTTCAGATTGTTCACTCTAACAAGTTTTACTTACCACTTTTTTTTACTCTCCTAACCAATTTCTTTCAGTTTTTTCTTTTTCTGTTTCCAACACTTTTTATATCTACACATTGGCTCTCTCACTCTCTGCCATGAACTGTAATTTAATTGTGTAATTGTTGATTGTGCCGATAATGAGCACACCTATACGCGGTGATGCGCGATGCAGGGTATCGAAAATAAAGTTTAAACTAACTTTTGACCCGGAAGATGAGCCTAGAAAAATTTAAGCGCGTCTGAGCACTGTCTTTTTTTACTCCAATCTTCTTAGAGCATTGGTATGCGTATGAAAATCAAGAAACATTGTTCACACACATCTTTCCGGAATGTACATCGATTGGTAGTCAGCTAAAAATCTCCTATTTCCTATATTTGTTATAGACGAACGTGAGTGTTTAAGACATGTGATGACTATGCTTAATATGCACATTAAACGGGACAATTCACGTTCAGTACTACTTCATCTTGTTCAAGCTCTCATCGGGTTCATATACATAAAGAATAGCGAAACTATTACTAAATTACGAAAACTCTTTGATTTTTTGATAATTGTTTTTCAATGACTCTAACAAAATTCAAATGATAGTCTTGCGTGGTGGTCTGAAACAATTTTGAATTGTTGTTTTATGACGGTACTGTTTGATAATCATTACTTGTTAATCACCGCACAAAGTAGTTTCTGAAAGTAAGACAAGTGCACATGTTAATTTCCGGCATTTTACATTCAAAGTTAGAATAGAATATTATAGAAATATGGGAAGCAACCTCAATTAAATTTATGTTTATTCAATCGCAGTATGTTCTCATCCTGAAATAAGACCAGCGTTTTTCTTTCTTTCATTATTCAATTATGTCCTACAGTCTACTTTTACTCCGTTTATTATCAGTTGCTGTTTGCGCTTCATCACGAAGTATTGGTCGCACACCTGCAGCTCAATTAGTTTCAATAACAACCGTTAACTGGTTAAACAAAACAACGAGCAACGCCTGTTTGTGTTTCGCTGTAAATTCCAGTTATTCAGCTTTCAATATATACTTATCTACAAACTCTTGTCAACTATTCCTTAACATATCACTGTCGTTCAGTATCATATCAAATCCCGACTCGACACTATTTCTTCTCAAACCGCTTCCCTTTCAACAATGTTGTTCAAATCTCATTCAACAAATTGTCAGTCAGACACCAATAAACAGTAGCAGTATGGCATTTGGTACTGGTATCGCGCTCAACGAAGATAAACAAAACATTGGTGTTATTTATAACAACAACAGTTTAAGAATACTGTATACAAATTTGAGCTTAGTTAATCAAACAACCGTTCCAACAAGTTCATGTCAAGTGGGCTATTTAGATGGTGTCTACTATGTTGCACAAAATCCGTTTAACACTACAGGCACATCGTTTCCTCTTTTCCTGTATTCATCGACAACACTTCACTCTCTGAGTAATTTTTCGAACAGCTACGGAGGATTTCAAAAGATGATCTTCACACTAAGTAATAATCTCATGTATGTCATTGCACAAAACAACCCCCAATCTTATATTCTCATATATCGTGTAAATTCGTCTACATCATTTGTTTTAAATCGAACAATAGCTATATCAACTGTCACCGCATATCGTCTAGCAAGTATGGACGATGATAATCTACTCATTTTAGAAGCTGTGGTGGGTGGACGCATTTTAAAATTACAAATTTCAACGGGAATAATGACGACGTTTATAACGACGACTCCGGTCGTAAGACCATCAGCAATCGTTGTCGATAATTGCGGTTTCATCTGGATAACAATATTTAACTTCGGCATCCAAATTTATAATTCATCGGGTGTATTAAGTGGAAACTGGACAGGCTATCAATACCTTAGTGATATTTTAATATCATCACAATTTGATGTATATTTATTAAGTTATTCGAATTCTGGTCAATTACTTAAATATCATTTCAACTTTGTATGTACTCCTTGATTCGCCGTTCACGGCTATTATTAAACTATATTCCCGTACTGCATATTACATTAATTATATCTCCTCCACTAACGGATGAAGATTTTCAACTTAGGCATATTATCAGTCATATAACACGAAACAATCTAAACGCACATTCTCCCTACATATCTGCCTATTGCTTCTTGTCTTGTGTTGGTTTACTCATATTCGTGTTTTGAATATTAAAAAATGTTAGAAAATCAAAGTTCGAGCAACATTTATTTTAATTCTTTTTGTCATGGTTGTATAGAGCTCGTTGAATCACCTAAAAAACACTACAAATTTGGATTTTGAAGGTCATTTTTTTAATGAAAACGTTTCAAAATATTGATTTATGGAGAATGGGCAAAAGTTAGAAAAATTTCTAAAAAATATAAAATTTTCACTAATATCGTTCTCTTAAAATTACAAAATTATTGATGGAAGAAAGTGGCATTGTAGAGAAAGAGTAGCAAGTACTAACAAATCTACACAATTACATTGAGCGAGTAATGATGACAGTAATGTTATTGATTTGTGTCTAAACAAAATTTGTTAACTATTAGAATGAAGACACAATCTATGTGATAAAGGTGAAAGCTCAGTCAAAATAACAGACGTTTTCTCGAGCACTTGTGCCAGTATGATTTTTGCACATATTTGATTCTGCAAGCCTGACATTAAAGATGCTTGTTCGTGCAAGACGTTGGAAGCCACGCATAAGGGAAGGAAAACTGGAAGGAGGTCTCTAAGTGACGAGTCAGTGTGAACCAGCCATTCGGGTGGTTATGAACCCAGTCACCGTAATTGATACAGTACATAGCTATCTTTATGTTGAATTCACATGGACTAAAAGATCAAGTGGAGCTTATTTCTGATTCAAGTTCTGATAGGCCGAAATCATTGCACCGCTGTAATACATCAGCATGTATCAGTCCAACCTATCTGTCGAAGTACCAGAATGCATCCAACATCGATTTGTCTTTGCATTTCAATGAATTGTATCTCGATGTAGATGCTGGAGACACAAATTTTATTTAAGTACGATGTTTTATTTTTCGAAATATTACAGATCGTCGAGCTGTATATATTTAGTCTAGACTTGATTATGTGAAGGACTAATCGCGATGCATGGACTTCAGCAAGATAAAATCATATTCTAAGCTAAAGTTTCTACGAGTTCAGCATAAATGAACAAAAAAATTTGGTCCTTATTTCTCATTTCTCATTCCTCTCGGCTATGTGTAATAACGGCATCCTACTGTTGCTGTGTACTGACTAATTTTCATTTGTGGAAATATAAAACACAGAATAATTAATATTTTCTAAATCAGTCATCAAAGTAATTGTGTTGTTCAACGTAAACTAATATAATAAAACACTGTTATTATTCAGTATTAAACCAATATCACCTTTAATTTCAAAGTGACCATTTACTGAGTTATAAAAGTGGACAATAATTTCGATTTTTCGATAATTTAATATTTTTAGTTATGATCGCATTTAAGATATTTTAGAAAAAGCTGTACTGGGATATACACTGATCATTAATTAGTCCTAATTAACGCGGACTATGGACTGTTCAGCGTTTTACATTTTTACTTGCAAATCAACCGTTCTTTGAAAATAATCACACGATGCATCATTCGAATTATATTTTCAAGCGCTACAAAACAGTATATTTGCTTTTGAAAAGAATAAGATTCTGACTGAGTTATGAATTTTTTAATTTTTGATGAAAATAGCTTAAAATGGGTTATTCACCTGGTACAGGTTTTCACTCCGCTCTTGCACTTTATTCTGAAAATTAACAGTGCCACCAGATTCAGCGTGTTCGATAATCTATGTTTTCGTAATTTCAGAAGGTCCCAGAATGAAACATAGAGCAGTCTCATGTCTCCGAAAAAAACGTCCAGAGCTCCTGAACAAAGCAAAGTGAAACTCTCTGAAAGGCCGATTTCAGAAATTTGTTCAAAAAACGTTTTTTCCTTATAAAAATATAGGTTAAATTGTCCTCTTTCGATTGCAGAAAATCGCAAGTCTCTGTCTTTTATCGTCTTTAAGTTATTCAGAAAACAACTACCAGTCGTATATCTTGGGGTGGACAGTAATATTTTTTAAGAACCTTGCCACAGATTGCGGCTCAACGAACCACAATGAAGAAAAGCTTATATAAGGCTTTTAATTAATTAAGGCTTTCTTAATAAGGCTATTAATAAGGCTTTTTTAAAACAGACTAATTAAAAAGAATGCTGAATTATTCTAAACAAATAGAGCGAAAAGGTATATGCGTGTATTATTACAAAGAAACAAAACAAATGATAAATAACTCCAAATCAAAATTTTTTGATACCAATTAATCGCATCACTTTTTCAAGACATTCTTCCAGTATTAACCTTCGTTGTTTATAACGATTTTCTAAATCGTGTAATCGTGCATTTCGATTCACAGATAATTTTTTTCTTGGCGGTATTGTACAGGTGGTTGCAGGACGTGAAGATATTGCTGAATTATAAGCATAATCGTTTTGAATTGCACGAATAAACATATAAAAATGTGGTTGCATAATATATCCAGCAATATCATCACGTTGTTTGTTTTGTTTCTTTGTAATAATACACGCATATACCTTTTCACTCTATTTGTTCAGAATAATTGAGCATTCTTTTAATTAGTCTGTTTTAAAAAAGCCTTATAAAAGCTTTTCTTCATTGTGGTTCGTCATCTGTGGTCAGTCATCTTTTCTTTTATTCAGAACTTAGTTCAAGCTGAAATAGACAGAGTAAGAGACTGGTGTGAAAAAAATCATATGTCACTCGACGTTGACAAATGTTCATACACTTACTTTTCACTTGATCCACTAAAATAAAGTCCGATTTCAAGTTAACTCTATTAAACTCGAAGCTCTTGCTCGATACCGATCCTAAACTTTTGGGTGTGCGTCTTTCTCACGAAATGAAATGGGCAACACATATTTGCGAAGTAGCAACGTCTTGTCGGAAAATGCTCGGTGTTATTAATCGAATTTTCGGAGAAGCACCTCATTCAATTCGCTTAGTTTTATATCTTACTTGCGTTTTACCCAAAATCGATTACTGTAGTGCACTTTACGATTCTAAATTCACCACCCATCTTGAACCATTAGAGGCGGTTCAGCGTTTAGCAAATCGCATTATTACCAGAAACTTCAATTACGAATATGATAACCTATCTCTAGTCAATAAACTAGGTTTGCCCGATCTCAGTGTCAGACGCCAGCACTTTCGACTCATATCATTTTACAAAATTTACAATAACCTGACTCTTCTCGACTCTCAGGTTTATCTTACTAAATTGAATTCTACGTCTCTCCGAGCAGCGCATTCTTATACGATCGACATACCCTTCACTCCTTTCGAAACTGTTCAGTCATCTTTCTTTTGGAGGACTGCAAAGGACTGGAATGCTAAAGATCTAGAAAAGATCGTTTCCATCAATTCTTTCCAAACCTTCAAAAAGGCTTTAAAAGAACATCTTCATCTTTAGTGGTTCTTTATCTCAAATCTTCTTTTTCATCATTTTTTGCTATTTTTAGTTGTTGGTCATGATAGGCAGAAACTTTGAATAAAATGTTTTTTGTTCTTTCTTTCTGTTACAAGTCATTCTTATGTCTGAACTTATTTTTATGTACCATGGTACGTTACCTAAATAAAAAAGAAAGAAACAAGAAAGAAAGTAATATATCGAAAATATCATCACTTTTAATTATAATTGTTACTTTTTTCTTTTGTGGCTAATACTGCACAAAATAGCTATTATATGATCAATACCTATATCTTAAGTATACATCTTTTCATTTGAATCCATAATACTGACCTTGAACTCCATATCCAGCAAGGGACATCCATAGAAAATCTCTTCTAAATAGGATTAAATGCATGGAGATGCCAACAGTAGGTGCACTTGCAATTGCCAAGTCTATTTGAAAATGGAGGGGTACATGTTCATAGGTTTCTTCATAAGACATGTTCCAACGCATGAAATGTGAAAATATAAACCCATTACTCGGAATCGAATAGTTCCAATTGTTGTTCTTTTTCAGTGTTTAGTTATTTTACCAACAAAATATATTTTTCGTACAAAAGTGGAAACAAGTGAACTTTCATTATAATTAGTATACATAACAGATCGACAATGAATTCTCTAAGATACTCTCAGATATCTAAAGAATAAGAATCTTAACGTAAAAGTAAAGCGACATGAACGCTAGAAATGATCTTTGTTCTGTTCTAAATGTTTCCATTCAATAATTGTTTTGGTTACTTTATCATCTGACTTATTATAGTCGAATAATTTATTAAGCTTTTCGAAAGCAAACAATGATAGTTATAGAATATCAACTGATGACTAGCTATCAGATTTTTCACCTCTTCCTCATTTATTTAGAAAAACTGCGTGTACTTCATTATTCTTTTAATTTTATGGTAGTCTTTCTATAGTGAGGAAAACCATAAATAGGAAAGGTTGAGTCTGATTTTAAGGAACTCATGTCATGTATCCAAAAAATCATGGATATTCTCAGCTAATATTTTCTGTGTTGCGAAAGAATCATCTGTCAAAATTACAATCAGAACTAGGTACACTGAATGCTTTTAAGACACATGATTTCCGCTTGTCTTCTGAAAGAATAAAGCTTATACCAAAGTAGAACACAAAAAAACATACCAAAACAAAACTACTACAGATAACATCGAGTCAATTGCGCAACTTCCCTCGTTGAACAGAATATACGCACAGAACAGTGACCAAGATGATCACTTCGCTTCTCTTTTCGTACCAAATTGATTTTGCGTTACAACAGTTTTAGTTGAGAATACTATAATGGAATATTTTCCGCTTGTCGTCTGAAAGAATAAAGCTTATTATCTCCTTCAGTCACATGACAGTCATTATTAAACAGATTAAACTTAGATATCAAAAAATTTTAAATATAAAAAGTAAGTTTTTGATACAAATATACCAAAAATAAAACTGAGGAAATTCTCACTATACAAGTATGGTTCATCTTCGATTCACTGACCCTTGACTGAAAATGGGTTTTTAGCGATGATTTGGTGTTAGTATGCGCTTAGCTTTTTAAAGGGATGGAGAAACAGGAAATTTTTGTTTATTTATGT